TTCTAATGAGATTTCCTTGGGCTCAAAGAGACAGATCATAATATTTTAACTGAGGCCTTCAGACTGATGGAGTCACCATGTGTTAATGGAAGCCCTGAGATGCAAACGTACCTGAGGGAGTGTGGCCCTATCTGGAGCGTCTGAGATGCTACTCGGCAGGAGAAATGAAGACCAAGCCCTGTGGGAGGCCTGGCTGACTGGGACAGCGCAAGGCCACCCCAGCAGGGAACATCTCATACTGGCTGAGGGCCACAGGAGGCCCATTCTCACTTGCCCCCCTTGGGGAAGCTACAGAAAGAGTCTGCTCAGGAAGCCTGAGATGGGGGAACAAGGGAAGAGGCCCCTGGAAAGAGGACGCAGCAGAGGTTGGTGAGGGTCAGGGTCAGCATTCTGAGCAAGAGGACAGCCAAGAGACCTACTGCCTGCTCCCCAGTCAACACCCAGTGGCAGCCCCGCTCACCTCTGTCTTCCACACTGGCTCCTGACCCTTAGAGTCACTCGTTTACACCAGTCATCAGAGGCAGGATGCTGACGCTTATGAAAGAAAATCTACTACTGAAAACACTTCCCATTTTACATTTAGTCACTGAGCACCCACATGGGCCAAGCACTGGTCAAGCCCCAAACAGATAAGTCCCCCCTTTTCCAGGCTACTTACAGTCTTCTGGTTTTGTTGTTCAAGCCTCTTTGGTAAAGTACTTTAAATTCCTTTTAGAATTTAATTTAAGAGAAAAAAAAGTCTGATTCTCTGGAAAAAGTAATGTTTTCTTTTATCAGATAAGAATTATGCAGCTCATCTTGTTCCCCTTGTTTTCTTGGGTGCCGCGAAGCTCCGGTTTCCTGTTATACTCCACTGCAACTAGTTACAATATTAGGTTCATGTTCTGTGCCTTTTCCCTTCTTTCTATTCTTCTTATCTTTTTATTTCTAGTGAAAAAGATTTCTTTCAATGCATCTTATTTGGTAAGGTATTTCAAGTTCATTTGGAAAGCGTATAGCTTATTTTTTAAAATAAGCAAAGACACAAGCATTAACTTCCAAACGGCCCCTCTTAAAAATTCTTTAGTGTTTACTAATTGCCTTTTAATAACCAACATCTGCTGAGCAGCCTGGCACTAACCGCTGCCCTCTTAACCATTGCTTCTCAGCATATTACAACTCACTGTGCTAGGCAACAGTAAAGGGATGTTACCCCCATTGAACGCCTCTGCGAGGCTGCCTCACATCCTCCACCATAGGTGGTTTAGTGTAGGAGAGAAAGGAACTACGAGGGAAGAGATGGGAGATGAGGCGACAGGCAGAGATTTCTTGAAGGTCTCTGTGGCCGGGTTATTACTCTCGTTTTAGGATATTTCCTTCAATAGCCAAAGTTACTCTCACCAAGAGCATGACTCTGGAGTCTGGCTCATACCTTCTACTGAAGGGAGTTTACATGGAGTTTATGAAAGTTACGCTCTTTTGATTAATGGTGGGAGCCCCTCTCACAAAGCAACCCTCTTAGCACCTGGGCATTCCTGACATGAAAGTCCCACCACTTTGCTCTCCTGGGGAAGGGGGGCGGGCATGCCTCAGGATGTGCCAGCAACGGCTGGCTGCTAAGCCAGACACAGCTGACGCATCGCCATCACTGCCAGACCCTCTGGGTGCTGGGATATGTCTCCCCTGCAGCCTGCTTTGCAGTTTCCTGGTAGGAGGACTCAGTGAAGTATAGCAACAAAACCCTGGGGACTGAGCCCTGCCACACATCCCCAGGAATCCATGCTTCTTCACATAACTGGGAAAGGAAAACACTGGGTGATCCAGCATAGCCCAAGAAGGAATTATTTTCTTTAGTTCTTTCAAGGAACATTCACTGAGGACAAAATATGTGACAGTCAAGGCAATATACTCAGAATATGTGTATAAATGACTACAGTACTGTGCTGCCCTTGAGGGGCTCACAGTCTAATGGGGGAGGCAACCATGCTATTTTTACAGCGTGGAGACTGGCGCCAACTCCCTTCTGATGCAACTGAGGCGCCTGAGAGGTAAAGCACGAGAGGATAGTAAAAACGTAATAAACATCCCAAGGAAATCGGCTTTGATGGTTACTTGGGAATGAACTACAGTTGCCACGTCAAGTGCCAACATGCAAATCCATGCAGAAAGCACCGAAAGGTATTCCAAAAACCGTTTCTTCCCCTTAAGAGCTTCAAGATTTCCCTGGCCATACTTTTTATACTATGTATACTCTTGACTAGTTTGGTGAGGCCATTTTTGTATAAGCAATGCAAAAGTAAGTGTCTGTCCCCAAAGGACAAAACTTTAAAACATAATTTGGGAAAAGCACTGATATTGCCACGTTGCTGGCATTTATGTACTCATCTCAGTGGTTTCTGATTTGGCCATAGAGGCTAAGATGGAAATGGAGAAACCCAACATTGATATTTTTTAAAAAGGAAGAATGGTTAACATTTACTAAGTATGTACATTTCGTCAAGCACCGTGCTGAGGGCTTTTTATGCGTTATCTCATTCAATCTTCACAACAATCCTCTGAGGTAGATTCTAGTACTGTGACTGTCTCTGTGTTAGAGATGAGGCAACTGAGTCTTATGTGGATCAAGTAACTTGTCCCGTTGCCATCACTGAAAGAGGCAGGTGTCACCTGACTGTCTAGCCACAGGGGCCTCACCCACACAGCACACCAACTGTCTTCCCTTACTGCCCAGTCCCCTGCTCCCTCCTGGGGCATCTTTTTACAGCATTTTGGCCCTGAATACGCTTCAGGATAAGTTCGTTCCTTGTGATAAGCAGGGCCTGCAATCTCTGACAGCTGTTCCCCCACTCTTCATCATCATCTGAAACAATCAGTAAGCATTAGAGAGTACTTTTCCCTTTACAAAGGTGATAATTAGATAACAAGCTGAGATTAAAGTAATTACAGTTAGACAGCTGGCGAGGCAGCACAGTCATGTTGAAATATTGTTGCTACTTCAGCATCTGGTTCTAATAACAGCACAGGCTAAAGGATTTTACATTAATTACAGAACATAATTTAATATAAACATATTTAATTACAATTGATGAGCGATAAACTGCTCAAGAATGACTTAACCCCTTCCATGTGTCAAAGTGGTGGGAACTTTGGGCAGGTTGCGGTTTCTTCTGCTGTCTTTCTCACCCTCCCTGCTGTCCCCTCCACAACTCCCTGGTCCCCTCTTCCGGAGAAAAGCCCCCTCAAAGAAGGAATGTTCTAGACAAGGATGTTCTTCACTGACTACCCTGTGGGCTCTTGGTGCGTGTATGGCGCTGCTCATCCTTAGAAAGCCAAGTGGAATGGGGTGAGTGCGCACACCAGGCAAGGATGCATTGCTGGGGGCTGACCAGCTGCCTTTGCTCACAGCGACTGGCAAAATGAGGCTGGTTTCCCTGTGTTCTCACACCTTTATGTGGTGCTGGCTTGGCTTCTGACAGTCAGTGAATGACCTATTAAATCCTTAGATCTCTTAGTGAAAGTATAAAGGTAAACCCATTTTTCTGTCATGACTAGGAAATTCCTAGCTGCAATAGCCAGGGTTATTCTCACAATTTTGGAGTCCATGTGTAATACCTGGAGACTTCTACACGATACAGGACACTCTCTGTTCTGGCAGGAATTCTTCCTTACATGCTGCCACCCCCCATCACTACCCTCACAACCTCCACTGCATAAAGGGCTCAACCATCATTATTTGCACATCATCTTTCCAGGAGCCCCATTCACAAATGGGAGGCATTCAAAAGCCACAAAAGTCATGGTATGGGTTGCATGTCGTTATTTCCCCCCAAAAAAAGATTCATATGCTGAAGCCCTAACTCCCAATGGGATGGTATTAGGGGGTAGAGCCTTCGGAAATGAATGAGGTTTAGATGAGGTCATGAGGTTGAATCCCCCACAATGGGATTATGTCCTTATAAGAAGAGAAAGAGATTAGAGCCTGTTCTCTCAGCCATGTGAGGATATAACAAGCAGGTGGCTGTCTGTAAACCAGGAAGAGGGCCCTCGCAAGAACTCAGCCATGCTGATACCCTGATCTGGACTTCCCAGACTCCAGAACTGTAAGAAATAAATTTCTGTTGTTTAAGTAAACCCCCCAATCTATGGTATTCCATTATAGCAGCCTTAACTGACCAAGATGTACCACAGGGTCTCAAATGCATTGAGATGATTCTGAAAAAAGTCAACCCAAAGACATTACAAGGCTCCTTCCTAAAAAATAGTGAGTAGCTCTGGAGCAAGTTGGAAATTTCACTGTTAAGTTTCCCTATGTGACAAATGATGTGAATTTCCAATAATCCTCAAATACTGTTTTTACTTTCTGCTGTGGATTTCAAGGTATAAAACACACATTCTCCTAAAAGTTAAAATGAGTGCTATAAAAGAGTTTATTATTCATAAGCAAACAAGTGCAAGCTACCTCTAGAGGAATTACTGACAGGTATACACAAAGTGGAATTAATGTGAAGATTTGGGACCACATAGCACCCCAGGGAGGACCGGGCACTCTCCAGGGGAAAGTTTTCTATACACGTCCTTTTAAAAAGTGAAGTTTATATCATTCTTCTCCCCCTCAGGTGCCCTCAGTGGGGGAAGCAGCTGCTTTTCTCACAAAAAGACCTTGAGGGCTGATGTTATATCTGCTCAAGCTGCCCAGGGTCTGAATAGTATTTGGTTTGTTGTGGAAGTGCTTATTTGAGATACAAAGCTTGCATCTTTGGTGACAATTTAGTCCAAAGGACCAAGCTACATAAACACCTGAGCCTGCCAGATCAGCAGGGTAACACTTTTCCTCACGCTCATGTCAGCCCTACTGTTCTCCTCTGGAATCACCTGACTTTCAGTTGGCTCAACAAAACAGGTGCATTAGCAGAGGAAAATGGCGGGAACCTCTTCCCAAAATGCCCTGCCTGAACTCCCAACCCAGGGCCTGCCCGACGGCTGACATGAGGAAGTGGGGCTGCAGAGTGGGGCCAGCCTACCTGATCAGGTATTGGTTGATGATAGTGTCGAAGTAGCTGTAGTACACAGCATTGTTCACATGGCCATACTGGTCATTGTCCTGCCACCTAGTCTGGATGGGCAAGAAGTACACATAGGCCTCGTGGTGACGATGACAACCCTCAGCTCGTTGGTTCTCTGATGAGGTAGCCAGGAAACGGATATTCTTAGGAAGCAGCCTCAGAACCCAAGAGGCCATAGCTGGTGATTGCCGCCTTGGAGAGTACCTTCAGGAAAAGGAGCAACAAAGGATAAAAATGGTCTTCAGAGATCTTGATATATTTTTGCAAAAGCAATTACATTAAATTTGGTCGTTGGTTTCAAAAGGAAAGGAGTTTTTTCCCAGGAAATAAATCTTCCCTGATAATCCAGGTCCCTGTCACAAACCTGTTTACTTTTTAAAGGGCTCCTTTCTAAAAAGGCTTTGGCACACACTGACAGAAACAAGTGAAGCTTTTGTTTGCATTTGACTAGTAGGGGTTCAAAGCATATTTGTATGGAGGTCTTCGGTTCCACAGAGTATTTTCAAAGAGGGTACTGATTCTGACAAAATCTGTAACACTACTGAAGGCATAAAGATAGAGCTCAGGAGACCAAAACAAAAATAAAATGCTTGCCAGAAAACACTATCAACTGGGCCTGTCAACTGTAAGTATTTTTTTAAGAGTATTAATCTTCTTTTAGAACAAAAGTAATGCCCTATGGAAATGTTTAAAAATATGCATAAACAAACAGAAGGGAAAAAGGAACAACAACCTAACAACACCAGCTGTTAACATTTCCATGTGCGTTATTTTAGTCTTATATTTATATATCTGTATAAATATTTTTAAATTGTACCAGACTACACATGTTGTTTTGTAATCCCTTATGCTTAACGATAGATTATTATGTTCAAATCCTCTCCTACATAGTTTGTAATGATGTAATGTAATGAATTCCATTATGTTCCATTGTATTGAAGCATCACAACTTATCAAACCCACTGTTGTCACATATTGAGGATTTTGATTCCAATTTTGTTGACTGGGATTGGAATCTTTGTAAATAAATCTTCACACACACCCATTTTCTCAACATAATTTTCATTATTTTCTTAAAATAAATATCTAGAAGCAGAATTGCTGGGTCAAAGGGCAAATAAATTGTTAAGGCTTTTGATATAAATCAATGCCCTCCAGAAAGGTGGTACCCAGCAGTGTATGAACAGGCCAATTTCCTTGTCATTTTTAAAATGCTTTGTCAATTTGACTGTGTTCTCTCATTTCCAGAGAAATTTAATGAAATGTGCTAAGTGGAAAGATGAGTGCTGCTACTGGCTACGATGGAATAACTAGTACAGAATAACCCCTCTGTTTGAGGACAACTATAAAAGCTAGATAAAATAAAAGCCCTTTGAAGGTATGAGGAAATAATCAAGGCAGCAGGACTTTATAAGCTGCAGCCATGGGGACAGGGTAACACACTGAAGTGAGCCTAGGGTTTGCCACTGCTGTTTCTCATCAGGGTATTTGCCAACTCACTGTGTGGGAAATAAAAGCTGAAGAGATAACAGTGACCTAGAGCTTGTGGTGGTCTTGCTGTGTTGGGAGAGCTGACAAAAATTGAAAGGCCAACATCCTGGAGAAGAACGAACTGCAGAGTAAGCCTTATAGTGCAAATTCCTCTCAAGGCATTTGCTGACTCTTAAGCTGCTGGCGCTCTGATAAAACAGAGAAACCAGCAGAAAGTAACTGCTGCAAGATTAACACTCTAAGGAGAAAATAGGAGTCTTATTGTGCAGAGGACACAAAAATTAGCTTTCAGGGCTGCCGAGGAGGAGGGCAAAGACCCCAGACTTTCAGTCTTGATCCAAGAAGGGCTACTCCCTTAGAGTGAAGGCAAACTCTACATTGACCAGCCTTGATCAAGGTTATCTACCCAAACATCATTTGTTAGCCAGTGGAAAATGAAATCATCTCTGCAGGAAAATAATACCACCCAGAGTTTCTACGACTTTTTATACACAAAGTCTGACATTCAATCAAAAACTACCAAGCCTACCAGGGAAGAGGAACAAATGACCAAAACGCAAAAGAATTTTTTTTTAAAAAGACAATAAGATAGTCCCACAGACTCACACAAATTTTAAAATAACCATGATTAACAGGAATCAAAGATAAAGGGCTACAATCCATCCCAAATTCATAAAGAACTCTAAAATTAAGAGGAGTAAAAATCACAAACCCAATAGAAAAATAAGCAAAAGTCACAAACATACAATTCACAGAAGATTTTTAAATGACCTTTAAACATATGAAAAAATGGACAGCTTCAGTCATAAGAAAAAAAATGCAAATTATAACTATGCTGAGATACCATTTCTCAATGATTAGATTTGATAAAAATTGTAAAGCTCGATAGCACATTCTCTTGACAAACCCCCGAGAAAAAGACACTCTCAATAGATTGCCGGTGGGAATGTCCCATCTTGTGGGAGGAGAAGTTGACAATATCTAACAAAGCCACAAGTGGGTTTACCTTTTGCCAACATCTAAAATTTTCCTTGAAAATACACCTTCAACAGTACAAAAATACATATAAACAAGCTACATCACTTGTTTGTAATTGAGAAATATTGGGGAAAAACACACATGGGAGATTGGTTGAATAAACTGATACATTCACACAATGGTATACTATGCAGCTGTAAATAAAAACTAAAGATGTGATGTGGAGTGATTTCCAGGATATCTTTGTTGTCAACCAAAAAAAGCAAAGTGCAAAAGACTATACATATACTACTTCTGTATAAGAAAAAGAGGAAATAGATAATATAAAGGTATTTATTTATATTTACAAAAAGAAACTCAATAAACTTGAACCAGAAACTAATAAGAGTTCATTAACAAGGTGAATAGGGTGGAGAAGGGAAAGTAACACTCCTCCGAATATAGCTTTTTGTGTAATTTTCAGTTTTGGAACCATGTTGATGCTTTATATACTCACACAAGATGATGATGGTGACGGTAATGGTGATGATGATGATGATGATGATGATGACAATGAAGTTAAATTAACAATTACGGAGGGGAAAGAAACCTAAAATGGAATATAAACAGAAACAGGTGAGCTTAACTATATTTCAAATAAATAACACAATCACACTAAAGGGGAAAAAATAACTACTTTTGAATACAGGGTTTTGACTATAGACACAGTCTAAGACAAAACTCTTCTAACAAATATTGAACACTAGTTAAAAGGTATGTATTTTTATTGTGGTTGGGTTAGCAATTCTGAACTGCTTTCTGTGACTCTAAACCTGGAATAATGGGTGAATATACTAAGGATAATGTTAGCCAGGCTTCTCACTTGGAGGAAAACCTTAGAAACAGAGGAAAGAAGAAGACTAAAATGAACCTTCTAATGTTAGATTAGATTTGGGAGTGCAGTATGAACTCCCAGGTTAGGGACAGAGATAGAGATAGTCCTGTTTATGCCAGCCCTGTTGAGCCTAGATGAATTGGCACTCCAGTAGAAGATGAGCACATTTAGTGTCCAGATCTTATTTTCTAAATACCATTCTCCAGAAAAGGCACCAGGGCTCCTTGAAGAAATGACTGATTCCAACGCTGGGGCAGATAAGGTAAAAGGTAATCCTGGAACATCTTATTGTGCCAGAAAGTAAAGAAACGTTCAAAGAATAATGGGCTTGGTAAAAGTTCATAAGTGCTCCCAATGGACAAATCTGCAACATTTGAGCATCACTGAATTAAATAAGAATTCTCAAGTCTACTAAATTAACAAGTGGGGCTGAAAGAAAACTTATCTCTTACATAAGTATGCCAGTAATAAATGTAGAAAGTATGATAGACTTAGAAAACAATCATTTTGCAAACATCATAGTAATAATTAATTCAGTCAAAGATCATCAATGGATGTTAAAATATACTGGGTACAAGTTTGATGAGGAACAGAATATTTCCATTGTCTCAAAGTATTTCCCACAAATAATTTATTCATTACAAATGAATAATAGTAACGTTATAATAATTCACACTGGTAGACATTTACTTATCTAAGTTCTCAAAGTTAGTATTACCAATAATGAGTCAAATGAACATCATGTGCCTCCTGATATAATGGACTGAGAAAAACACAATATCACTTCTGTGTTATTTCTACCAATAATAACAATGCGTTATCTGACTCTAACCATGATGAAACATCAAACAAATCAAAATTGTGGAACATTCTGCAAAGTAATTGTTCCACACTCTTCAAAAATATCAAGATCATGAAAGACAAATAAAGGCAGAAGAACTGTTCCATTAAAATGAACTAAACAGACATGACAACTAAATGCAATGCATGATCCTAGATTACATACTGGACTGGGGAAAAAAAAGTAGATATAAGGGACATTATTGAAATAATTGATAAAACTTGAATTTACACTGTAGATCAGATAATAGTATTTTATCAATATTAAACTTCCTAATTTTGATACTTGTACTGTGGTTACATTAAGAGAAATTCCTTGCTTTTAGTAAATACAAAACCAAAAAAATTTGGAATAAAGAGGCATGACAACTGCAACCTCCTATCAAATGGTTCACAAATAATGTGTGTGTGTGTGTGTGTGTGTGTGTGTGTGTTGGGGAGGGGAGGAGGAATACATGTGCATGGAGGGGAGGATGATAAAGCAAATGGAGAAAAAATGTAAAAAATTGGCGAATCTAGGTAGAAAATACACAGTAATATGTTCTACTATTTCTACAAGTTTTCTGTATATTTGAAATTATGAAAAAAGTGATCCATTGTCACCCTAATAAATTTTAATTAAAAAAAGGAAAAAAATCAATAGTTACCCCAAAAAAAGCTGTGTTGAAAAACAAATTAAAAAATTGAAAATTTTGCCACAGTATGGGAATCTATGAAATACAACTATTTTATTATGAATTAAATAGATAGGTTAAACAACAGAATATTAATTAACTGGAATTAATTAACTGGAAGATAAGTCAATCTAAATATTCAGATTGAGGTACAAACTAAAGGGATATAAAATTCAAAACAAACACAAGTGACACGTAGGACACTTTTAACAAGTAAGATAATTGTTGTAATTAAAGTTCTAGACAGACAGGAGGGAGATAATGGTTAAGATGGAACATTTCAAGAGATACTGACAGAAAATTTCCTCCAAATAAAAGACATGAAGTCACAAATTCAAGAATCACTATAAACCCAAACGGGATACATTAAATTTAAAAACCAAACATAATAAAACTGCTGAAAACCAAAGACAAAGAAAATCTTCAACGAAGCAAAGAATTATAAGATATTTTTCCCTCAAAGCTAAAACAATAACCTGACTAATTCAATGGAAACAATGGAAGAAGACAAAAGAATGGCGCCTTTAAAGTTCTTAAAGTAAATAATTGCAGAGCTAGAATTCTATACCCAGAGAAAATATCCTTCAAAAATGAAAGCAAAATAGTAATTTTAACAAAAACTGAGAGAATTTATCCCAAGCAGACCTACACTAAAGGAAATGCTGAAGGGTACCCTTTAGACAAGAGGAAAATTGCCCTCAATGAAAGCATAATAATGCAGGAAAGAATGAAGATCAATGGAAAGAGTACATAAGTGGATAACTTTAAATTAATAATGACTGCTTAAAACAATAATATTAATAATATCTTGTGGGCTTAAAATATGTATAGAATTAAAATATCACATAACAGTAGCAGAAGAGATATGAGGGTAAACTCAATTATAGTGTTGTAAAGTCCTGGCATTTTTCAGTAAGTGGTAACAATCCTAATTTTAGGTTGACTATATGTCAAGAATTCATGCTGTAACCTCTGGGATAGTTACTAAAATAATAGAAAAAGAATGTTTAATTAACATAGAAAAAACTCAACAATAAAAAATACTTTTCAAATCCAAAAGAAGGCAATATATCCGGTGGAAGGACCAAAAAACAAACAGTAAGACAGTGGAATTGAATTAAAAAATAACAATAGTCACATGGTTATAACAAAATCTTCAAACAATAGGCATAGACTCTGAGAATTGATTTTTAAAAACCCAACTATACATTATTTATAATAGATGCATCTTAAATATAAGGACACAGAAAGTTGGGAGTAAAAAGATGGAAAACATACAAACATTAAGAAGAAAAAAAGGCTGGTATAGATATACTAGTAACAGACAAAACGGATTTTAAGGCAAGAAGTATTATTATATATAAAAGAGAAACTTTAGGTAAAGATAAAAGGTCAATTCAACATAAAGATTTCATAACATAGCTTCAAATACAGTTAAAACTAACAAAACCAAAGGAGTAATAGACAAATTCCCAATCACTGTGAGCAGCTTTAACACACTTCTCTCAACAGCTCAAAGAATATGCAGAAAATAAGTTAATTAAAATATAGAAAAATAGAATTACATGTTTAACAAACAATATAGCACCCACCAATTATAGAATGCATTTTTTTGAAGTACATATGGAATAGTTACCCAAACAAAACATATATTTATTAAAACAAGTCTCAATAAATTTCAAAAAATTAAAATCAGAGTATGTTCTCTGACCACTGTGGAATTCATCTAAAAATCAATAACAACAACAACAAAAAAAAACTTTTAAAATCCCCCCATATGCCTGAAAGTCAATTAATAAACTTGAAATAATCTATGAGGTAAATAAGAAACCACAATGGAAATAAGAAAACTTTTTCAAGAACGATAATAAAAATATGACATAAAAATTGTGAGATATAGCTAATCTGTGCTTAGGAAAATATCATAGTTAAGTGAAAAATCTAAGGATAGAAATGAATGATCTAAGGATCCATCTCAAGAAGCTTAAAAAAGAACAGCAAACTAAACAAAAAAAAGTATAAGAGAGGTAATGAAGGTAAGGACAAAAATCAATGAAGTAGGAAAAGAACAGAGCAGAGGTCAGTAAACTTTTTCTGTAAAAGGGACAAATGGTGAATATTACAAACTTTATAAGTCATAAAATATGTCACAACTACTCAACTCTGCCATTGTAATACAAAAGTAAGCCTAGACAATACGTAAAGGAATGGATATAGTTGTGTTCCAATAAGACCACATTTACAAAAATAGGTGATGGATCAGATTTGACCCATGAGCCATATTCCTCTAACCCTGTAATAGAGGGATACAATAAAGCCAAAAGTCTGTTCTTTGAGAAAAGAAGACAAATAAAATTGATAAAGCCCAGTAAGACTGTAAAGAAAAAAACAGAAGATACAAATTATCAAGATAAGAAATGAAAAAAGGGACAGCACTACAAATCTTGCCTAAGCATTAAAAAGATAAGATGCTATAAATAACTTTAGAACAATAAATTTGATAATTCAGATGAAATGGACACATTCATTTTTAAAAATACTAACCAAAACTGACACACAAAAAAATAGAAAATCCCAATCATCCTCGGCCCATTAAAAATATAATATGAATTTGTAATTAGAAGCCTATCCACAAAGAATACTGCAGGCCCAATGGCTTTATCAGTAAAGTAACATTTCAAGAACTGACACCAATCTTATACAAATTATTCCAAGAAATGGATAAAGTGATATCAATTCTGGACTCATTTTATAAGGCTAATATAACTCTTGATAGCAAAACTTAGCAATAAAGAAAATTTATAACAGGAAAGTCAAAGTATAAAGGCATATGAGTAGATGTAAAAATTTGGCAAAATCAAATTAAAATATTCACAGATCAAATCCTGTAATGTATATAAAGCATAGATCTCAACCCAGTTAATTTATAACAGTAATACAAAGCTATTAACATTTGTAAATCAATCAATATAATTTACCCCCCGAACTAAATAAGAAAAGTAGATTTTTTAAAAATCATTTGATGAAATTCAATGCCCATTCACAATTTTAAAAAATTTAAACTAGGACTAGAAAGAACTGCCTTACATAATAAAGAATATATTTTTAAATCTACAGTAAATATATTAATGGTAAAATAATGCAAGCTTTTCCCCTGAAATCAAGAATGAAACTAGAATGTCTGCAATCACCACTTTTATT